GTCGTTAACAATAACCATTTCACCATGATGATTCCACACTGTGTAGTCCTCAACAAATCCTTGTATAATCAAATGTGATCTGATGATAGTCACATCTGTCCATGCCATACGGTTCTTGCAATGTTTACAGGGACAAATAATTGTATCCTTATTCTGTATCAACGTCGTTGCATGCTTCTCTACAACTTCAATAAATTTATCCACCTCTTCACGGAAACCTGCCTTGAACCTTAACGAACCATGCATCAAGAGTTCCTGTACTCCATCTTTTATAATAACAACAAAACAAACATTAAAGGACTACTTATTCAGATATATATAAAATGAATCAAATTAATAATTACTTAAGAATAATTGTATATACTTCAGATATATATGAATATAAATAAAATATAATTACATGAAGCATACAAACACACCATGGTAGAGAAAAATTAATTAATGGCCCATTTATCCATAAATAATTAAAATACATATTTGTTGATTACACTAAATAATTTCAAAGACAACAATTAGCAACAATTATATTTTACCCAATATCTTTCATGCAAACTCTAGTCCAATTTCATCAAACATAAATTTATAAAAACAAAATTAATAAAAAAACCAAACCCTAGATCTAGATCTACATGCACATGAAACATACATAAAACAAACTAATTGTTCACTAAAATCAAGAAACATGGACCAAATAAGGGTATGATCTTGTTCCCCTACCTAATTTACCCTAATACATTCAAAACTTGGGTCTAATTTGCTTCATAAGTAGCTCAAGTACCATAGAAGAGAGAGAAAAGCAAAACTCTAATTACTCACTAACCAACCATTAAAACTTCAAAAAAATATGGAATAACATTTTCTTACCTTCTACAATCTCTTCATCAAATGATTTGAGACCAAAACCTTCTCCCCTTAGTAGAGCAATTTTTAGGAGGTATCAAGGCCTCCCTACCTTTTTTTCACGGGTTGGAGTGAGTGACCCGAAGAGAAAGAAGGGGGCTGCAGTCATTTATACAGCGGACATTTGTTGGGGCGACTGGTGATTGAGCCGCCCCTACAATTCTAATAGTAGGAGCGGCTGGTGAGTAAGCCGCCCCTATAAATCTACCCATCACCCCCTGACGCTAGGCGCGGTGTGGGGGTTGCCGATGAAGCCGCCCATGGCGCCTTCCTTGTCGGACTCAGCCACCGCGCCGTGCGCGTCCCAACACCCCCTGACGCCCAGCGGCGCGGCGTGGGGGCTGCCGACGAAAACCCGCCGCTTCCCGCTCAGCGGCCTTGGCGCCACGCGTGGAGGTGCGGCGGTGTGGGTGCACAACTTTGACCAGAAGCCAAGCTCATCGAATCGCTCCTGCCCAAGTTCCGGTGCGTGGCCGTGGACACGGAGTTCCGGGGACGGTGTACCGGCCGGCGGGTCCGGCGTACACGCTTAAAGCTGGAGGAGCGGTACAAGCTGCTTTGAGGTCCACCGTGGATGCGCTTGACCCGATCCAAATTTCGACCCTCACGCTGTTCGACGCGGGTGCCCTCCTCCCTTCCTCGGCCTCGGCGGCGGCGGCTGGCGACGCCATGCAGCCACGTGGTACTTGTGGGAGTTCTACTTCTACAAGTTCGACGTCGGTGGCACCACCACGCCGAGTCCATCGCAGCAACAAGGGGGCGAGGGCATCGACCTCGACCGACGCGGCGGCACGCAGCGTGGGCGCGATGGCGGCGTTCGGCCTGCGGTACGTGCAAGTGGCGCGCAGCGAGCCTCGGGCGCGCCAAATCGTCACCACGACCAACGGCGGCTACGACCTCGCATACCTAGTGAAGATGATGTTCGGGCCCGGTTTTGGATGCTGCGTCGGCGGCGGAGTTCGAGGTCGTCGCCGGGCGGCGCGTCCTCCGCCGTCGGAGGGTGTTCGACGTCGAGGAGATGGTGAGGCTCTGCCTGGGTGGCGACCTCCACCGTGGGCGGATAGCGTCACCACGATGCTCAACGTGGCGCTGGCCGCCCGCGAAGCGCATACCAGGCGGCTATGACGATCAGTGCACTTGCTACGTTCATGAAATCCGAGAGAGATATGCTTCGACGACGATGCCAAGCTGACGAGCGTCGACGGGATCCTCGCCGAAATCACGACGTTCTAGCTAGTTACCGCCTTGCACGTAAATACGGAGTGAACTTTACATGTAAAGCAGCAGTATTTCGGGTTGGAGTACATAGGATTTGATTAGGGTTTAGGAATTAGGATGCATATGCATAGTAAAACATTTTCATTATTTGTTATTTTGTTGCATAGTTTGATGCCTATAATAATGCAATGTGCAAGTCATGTTACAAAATTTGTCATTTAAAAAAAATCAGAAGGACTAGCATCCGGCCGCATGACTCGTCCGAACGCACCTGCGCCCGCATTGCAATCCACGCCCGCGCCCCGCATCCCATCCCATGCCAGCACCTGCGTCCGAACCCAGCACCTTCTAAACGCAGCACCCTAGATGATCCCCACCCCAACGCCAACGCCAACGCCAAAGCGAGATGGAGGGAAGGGAAGGGTGGGGAGCGAGAGGAGAGGAGAGGGCGAGGCGTGTTGCGCGAGGTAGGAGCCGAAGCCCTGTGGCAAGCCGCTGTCCGTCGGCCATCGGCGCCATTGCAGATTTTGCAACATGTGCAACACTCGATCTACTTTTAAAACATTCAGATGAAACATTTGCAACATACGTCTAAAACAGATGAAACTCTTGAAATATGCGATTGAAACATGCATGTATAGCTATTTGTAACATGTGCAACACCAAGATTTACTTTTAAAACATCAAGATAGAACATTGGAAACATAAGTGTGAAACAACTGAAACACTTGAAACATAGGCTTGCAACATGCATATTTTGTCATTGCAATATTTAGATCTAGTTTTGCAACATCCAGATAGAACACTTTAAACAAAAAGTCAAAACGCCTGAAACACTTGAAACACAGTGTTCGCCGCGCGCCACGACCTGCCTGATGGGAAACTGCGGTATAGATCGGCGAGGAGGACAGGGAGCGGATGGAGGCCGCCCTGGCGGAGGCGCTGTAGTGGCAACGGCGAGGCCCATTTGCGACCTTAGATTCCTTTCCTCTTCCTCCTCTGTTACATCGGCTGGGCACTTCAGAAAGTAGGTAACAGGGTGGGGGAACAGGCATCAAGAAGGGGCACTGTGAGCTTCCTCATCTCCGCCTTGTCAGGCATGCCGACTCCATCCGAGCTGCGACCTTGGATTCCTCTCGTCCTCCCCCTCTGCTGCATCTGTCATACACTTGGAGAAGAAAGGCTGCCAGCACACTTGGGGAGGGAGAGCACAGAGAGGCAGGAGAGATATAAGAGCAAAACAGGTGAGGTGGGTGGGAAGAGAAAGACATGTTATTTAATTCAGTGAGGACCCGTCTCTAGATATTTCTGTGTTTCACCCAATGTGTCCAGATATAAGCTGCGTCCGAACGCCCTAGCTAAAACATTATCGAAAAAAATATTGGTCTTGTGAAAAACTGGTATAAAACTTCAGGGCTTCATCCTAAAAAGAATCTACAATATTCTTCTGAAAAGTCCTAGAGAGAGATTTTCTAAAAATAATGTCGGTTAAGTAAGAGGCATCAAAATGTATATGCTGCAAACAATCTTGGAATGCCATATAAAAATAAATCTAGTTAAATTGAAAGTCTTAAACCTGATTTACTAAAGAGATAGACTTTAGATTGGTTTGTTTTAGAGATGTTGGAAACCTAAATAATGTGACAATCTGTATCAATAAGGCACCAAAATAAATGACCCAATCCATCAGTATTTGCATGGAGGAAAATTATACCACATCAAATTTGTTAATTTAAAATGACTTTTCGAGTTATCAAAACTTTGGTGGTTTTCGGGCTACTATATTACATATTCAGCTAAGAACCCATATGAGTCAGTTCGCTACATATAGATTTAAGCCATAGAAGAAAAATAGCAAAGACTGCACCATCTCTTATTTTCTTCTTCGTTTATCTATTGCCACCAAGCTATTAGCCTAGTTAAATACTTGCATCCAGGATCCTATATGAAGTTACATGAATCAATTCACTTTTTTTTATAGGAAAAACGTAACAAACACGAAAACTTCCCACATTCTAAAGGGGGCCTAACATGCAAACAACAAAATCCCAACCTAATCCCCACCATAACCACCAAAAAAACACGATCCCTACAATCTTGCCAAAGCAAGAGAAGGGGGTAATTTAGATGGAGTTGGAGTGAAGAGTGAAGATTGAGGTTTGAAAGAAAAATCCAGGACTAAAAGAGGTAAGAAAACATCCGAATATTATATAGTAGTACTCCCTCTATCAGTAAGCAAATCAACTTCTAGAATTGTCCTATGTCAAACTTTTATGAAAATTAACCAATTTTATAAGACAAAATACTAACATGTATAGCATTAAACGAGTATACTATGAAAATATATTTCTATGATATATTTAATGATACTAATTTTATGTCTTAAATATTGATGTTATTTTCTATAAATTTAGTCAACCTTAAATTTTTTTGACTTAGTACAACTCTAGAAGTTAATTTATAAGCCTTCATATCCATTTTGCAATTGTACCTACAGTATATAGAAGTATGTTTAGCAGGAACATAGGAAAGCAGGCATGCATGAAATCAATCCATCAGGGTCATTAGACGATCTTTTCATCTCGGACCACACGCAAATTAGCACGTTGTCACGGTGATGAGCTACACTCACGCGGTGCCATCACATGACCAACATTGGCGCGCATGCACGCATTCTACACCAACGATTGGCTAATATCATCGCCATAGCACACCCATGAAAGATTAGCTAAAACTGCAAAGCTTATAGATCACCATTGATCGTCGTCCTTATTGCACCATTTACACAAACACTCAATTTATTTATGCGCCATGGCTATCATCGCCAGCCATTATTTTTGCTAGCTGCTGCCTACGGCGGCTAGAGATGAAGAATCGATCGATCACTTACCCTCCTGTCCCGCATGGCCATCGTCGCCGCGGCCTCCGGTGGAGGTCCACGACACGAAGGCGTCCATGGTGCTCGCGTCCGACCGGTAGTGCTTCTGCGTGAACTCGAGGAAATCGCGCCACGTGAAGTCCGGGAACGCGCGCGGGCGGTGGCCCTTCTCCTCCTGGAGCTGGAGGAGCGCGTCCGGCGGGCGGACGACGCGGTCCAGCGGCGGGTTGAGGAAGAAGGCGAGCGACCTGCGGGCGCAGTCACCGCTCACCACGGCGCGGTGGAGGCAGCTGGCGTGGCGCCCGTCGGTGAGCGCGGCGAAGGTGTCCCCGATGTTGACCACGAACGCGTCCGCGCGGGGCCGCACCGCGCGCCACTCCCCGTTCCCGCCGGCGGGGCGCACCTGCAGCCCGCCCACGTCGTCCTGGTGCAGCAGCGTGAGCGACGTCGGGTCCCGGTGCGGGCCCGTCCCCAGCGTCAGGTGCGGCTGCCGGCACGCCGGGTAGTGGTTCAGCCGCATGATGGAGTCGCCGCCGTCGAAGAACCCGCGCAGCGCGCTGCGGCGCAGGCCCAGCGCCGCCGCCAGCACCTCCGTCACGTCCAGCGCCAGCCGCGCCATCTCGTCGCAGTACTCCTGGTACACCTCCCTGCATGCATGTGTTTCGATTCGTGCGCCATTGTAACAAGTACGTACACTATGGCTATATATGCAGGGGTTTTGACACGATTGTAAGTACCCCATGTGGCGGTAGTCCTCGCCGAGGACGTCGACGAAGTAGTCGACGACGGCGGCGGCGCGCTCGGTCCCGGCGCCGGCGCCGGCGGGGCAGTTGAAGGAGAGCGTCTCCTTCCACGGCAGGCAGCAGCGGAAGCGGCCTGTGAAGCTGCTGGCGTAGCCGTGGGACTCCCAGGGCGTCGCTGCGCGTGCTGCTTGTCGGCGAGCGGGCGCGCGTAGAAGGCGTCGAGGCAGCGGTAGGCATCGGCGAGCAGCGCGGCGCGAACGCCGTGGTTCACCACCTGGAAGAAGCCGTGGCGCTCGCACGCCTCCGCCACGCCGCGCAGGAGCTCGTCCAGGCCTGCCTCCCCGCGGCGGAGGAACCGGCCCAGGTCGACCACGGGGATGGCGATCTCCTCCACGCCGCCGACGCCGCCGCCCGACGGCGCCCGATCCTCGGCGGGCCACACGAACTGCGCCGGGATGCGCTCCTCCCGGCTCAGCACCTCCGCGTCGAACACCACGCCTGCCGCCGCCGCCATGCCGGGAAATCCGATCGCTTTGCTGCGTGCGTGCCTGCGTGCAAGGAAGCCGGCGGCTTTATCCCCGCATTGCAATTGCAACCAACAGGCTGCTGCACTGGCGCCTCGTCGGCGACGGCCGGTGCGGCCATATATAGCGGCGACGTCACGTGTCAGAGCGGGGGGCGGTCACTAGCTTGTTTTGGAACGGGTTAAAAAAAATGGTGCTGTCAGCTAATTACGGGCGCCAGGTCACCGTAATCTGCTCGTCCAGCGTGTTTCGGATAAACACTGCATTAATCGTACGTGTTCATCATGTCGTTATCTCGATCGTCAGTTTTTTTTTCTTTTTTTCTTTTTGAATTCCAGGGACACCGGAGCCCCTGCTGTCAGCCATATGCATGACGCAAGATTTTTGAACAGTATATATGTCGTTTGAATTTGAATTTGAATTTGAATTTGAAGAACTGGTGCCTAGTGGGTGAGTGTGAGCCTGCTCTACGTGTCTATACACATGCTGGATTCTGGATTCTTAAAGTAGTATTTACTTACTGTGTGTATGAAATATATGGAGAGCTAGATTTAATTTCACGTGATCAAATCAAATCAAAAGGAGAAAGATTGGATTGAATAGATTTATTTTTTGAGCAAATATTGGATTAGATAGATTTTTTTTTGAGGAAATTGGATTGGATAGATGACCACCACGTGGACGGAATTGGGTGCCCCGACTTGTTGGGCCAGGATGTGAAGGCCCATCGAGTGTCTTCATGCACGCTGTTGGTTCGGGAAAAAAAAGGCATTTTGAGCTCCAATAGCTTTGCTCGAAGCCTCGAAGTCTGATTGTTCTTCAGCAATTAGAAAATCGGATGGTTGATCTTTTCCTCCAGTTTTTGAAACTGGTTGAATTTGCATTTAGGCGGTTTTGTGCTACATGGACCCATATCAATTGTTCTATGTGACATTGTGACACCATGTCGGTCGCGAGGGGGCTAAATTGGACTACATTGATAGTTCAGTGGTGTCAAATAGACTTTATAAACTGTTATGGAATGATTTTTTTATTAAAAAATATCTCACTATTTTTTCAAGAAAATCTATGCAATTTAAAATAATAAGATTTGATTTCATCTTAGAAGTTTTGTTTTAGCTCGGAAACATATGAAACTAGTTTTATATTTTTTTAAAAAAAAAATCATGCTATATCTTATGTTGCCTAGCTTGAAATTATACTAGTTTTTTATAGCCTTTTTGTGTTTATTTGCTTGTAGATGCTCTATATAGTCTCCTTTCTGGAAAAAAAATTGTTTATATGCTCTATCATATAGCATCTAATAGCAATCTCTTTATTCTAATATCAAAATCAGGAATATTTCTTTCGTCCATTTGCACCCAATCTAAGGGTGACAAAGTCTAACGGTGAGCCCTGACATGGGTCTCTTCTAGGTGTGGTGTGGTGTCATGCGAACCAGGCAACAAAGGTCGGTTGTGTTTGTTGCTTAGTGAGAGCCATTCCTTTCAGGATCAATAAGCTAGCATGAGTTTGTAAGACGTTGGGTTTCTAGAGTCTTGGTGCCAAACTAAGTTCAAGTTACAGGCTTACTTCACTAATTTTAGAACATTATTTCAAATATTAGACCATGATTACTGGACATGAGCATGCTAGGGGTTGTAGTATATTGTTGCAATGCATAGGCATATTTGTTTGTAAACATCAAAAGGAGACCATATAAGATTCAAATAATTCTCAGGTAGGCACCATAAGATAGAGCATGTTTTAAAAAAAAACAACTCGAACTACTTTTCTATATTTTTCAAGCTAAAAAAAGATTTTAGGATTTTTAATTACATAACGTTTCAAGAAAAAAACATTTGAATATTTTTAAAACTATTTTTATTGTCATTTGACCATCTTGAACTATCAACGTAATCTGATTTACCCCTTTAGCTGGCGTTGAACCATATAGGATAAAATCATTGCTGAAGCCAACTAGGATATAAATTATAAAATCAACCGGTTCAAAAGTTGGGAAGTCAAGCAAGCGGCTTTCCGATTAAAGGAAGATAATAGAACTTTAAACAGAGTTGGAGGAGCTCAAAAGGTGGTGTTCAGACTTAAAGAAAAAACCTTTGTAGCGTTGTTGTTGGAGACTTGATCAAAAGCTTTACTCCCTCTGTCCTTATTTAACTGTCGGCTATGGACTATGTACCGGATTTTTAGAAAATAATAGCAACATTTGTATCTCTAAATAAATTTATTATGAAAATAGATTGAACGATCTATCCAATGATACTAATTATGTACCATAAATATTATTATTTGTATATATATTATGTCAAAGTTGAGTACATTTGACTTCTTAAAAGTGAGAGCGACACTTAAAAGAGGGACGGAGAGAGTACTAAACACACATATGAGAACAGTTATGAAGGCAAAACCAAACCAAATTAATAAAATCAAAGGTATTTTTGTCCATAAACTGAAACAATATGCTGCTCAAAAAGTGAGGAACTCATGAAAAAACTTTGATTTTGCTTTCATATTGGCTCCTCACTTTTTTAAAAGCCCAAATGCTACCGAATAGTTCTATCGGGCCCAAGCTCAGGCTTTACTCAAAGCTGCAGTTGACTTTGACCTCTGCACCCGTGGGCCCCCGCCTGGGCTTGGTTTGCTTGGCCGGCTGTGTATGTCTGACACTGACAACGATGGAAATACGAATTTTCGTCGAAAATCAAACGAGAGGGCAACCTTATTTCAGTTTCATTCATTCACAGTTTGCATATCATCATCAACACAAAGCAATTTGTTATTATTATTTCAAGAAAACACACACATGCACAAATGAATTCGTGGGCCCATGCAATTCTCTTGGCACTTTGGCAGCCAAGCCGACACCAGCAGCAGGCAGCTCTCTGGTGACTGGTGTGTGTGCAGGCTACAGAGCACGGCATGGGCACAGACCACAGACGACGCTGCCAAAGTGCCAAAGCAGGTGACGACGGCGACTGCATCGTCAGATCTTGAAGGCCTTCTCGACGCTCTCCCTGCGCGCGCCGACGGTCTTGTACACCCTCATGAACTCCCGGAACGTGACGGCGCGGTACCGCGCGCCGCCGCCCCCGGCAGCGAGCTCCGCGGCGGGGGCGACGAGGCAGTCGTCGGTGGGCATGATGAACGTCGCCACCGACGTGCGCGGCACCGCCGCGTTGGCCGCCGCGCGGTGCTCCACGCTCTTCAGCAGCCCGTTCGTCGCGATCTGCACGCACGCATGCGCCACCATCGTCATCAAACAACTCAATCAATCGCATCTCGCCACGTCTCTCAACAAGAGAAAAAGAAATCAGCTGGTGGACCTCGAGCTGGTGGCCGAAGTTGACGACGAAGGCGCCGGGCACGGGCTGGACGCGGATCCACTCGCCGCGGTAGGAGACCTGGAGGCCGGCGACGCTCCCCTGGAGGAGGAGCGTGATGAGGTTGCGGTCGCAGTGCGGCGGCAGGCCCAGCGTGCGCACCGGGTCCGGGCACGGCGGGTAGTGGTTGACGTTCACGACCACGTCGCCGGCGCTGAGGTCCCCCTCGAAGTAGTCCGGGCGGAGCCCTACGCCCTCGCACAGCAGCCGCAGCAGCTCCATGCCCAGCGCCCGCGTCGGCGCGATGAACCTCTCCATCGCCTCCCTGCACGGCCGCAAGACGGTCAGGACTGATTACATTCTATAGAAGTCAGTCACCTCGCCTGACCTGATGACTACCTGAGGCCGTCGGGGTTGTCTGGCCAGGCGTTCTTGGCGTCGGCGGCGACGGGGAAGCCGCAGGAGAGGCGGAGGCAGTCACGCCAGCAGCGCTCGCCGCCGGTGCCGTTGGTGGTGCTGGTGAAGAGGCGGTTGGGCTTGTCCGTGTCCTCGGAGTAGAAGGCCGCCTTGTCCTCCGCGGGAAGGCGGAAGAACTCCTCGCAGCACGCCTCCATGTCCCGCACCGCCTGCTCCGGCACGCCGTGGTTCACCACCTGCATTATTAGACTAGCGGTGAGATGCATGAGAGGTGACGACCCAAGGTGGAGGAGTTGGAGGAAGGAAGGAGGACACACGGTCACACGGAGGTACCTGGAAGAAGCCTAGCTCCTTGCCAGCTTCAAGAACGGCTCGCCGGACCTCGTCGCGGGGGGCGGAGAGGTCGATGACGGGGAGCGCGACGGCGGCGGACGACGGCGGCGGGCGCTGCTCGGCCGGGAAGACGCGAAGCTGTCCGGGAGCGTCTCGTGGGATGCGACGGACAGCAGGTTCTCCATCGCGGCCGGTGATGCTGCTGGCTGACACACGCACGTGCGCCTGAAATGAGTGGACGGATAGCCGGATAGGGGAGCAACGAAATGGCCTGGGCATTCGGTACTACCGAACCGAATCCTCGGTTCCTCGGTTTGTACCGATTGGTTCTTTAAAAAATCGGTACCGACGAAGTTTACTTTCGGTTAGTTCGGTTCGGTTCCGGTTTTGAACCGAACAACTCCGGCTTCCAAAAAATCAGCGACTCGGGAGGGCGCGCCGGACTCTTGGCGGGGATGCGGTGCCGCGGGAGGTCAGCCATCGCAGGGGGCGCTGGGACTCTGGGTCTCCGGGAGGTGGGTGTTCGGTTCCTCGGGTAGTTCGGTCAACCGAGGGGAGGAACCGAATTAACCGAACAAATTTTGGTTCATAGGAAATGGGAACCGAACAGGGAACCGAGATTTCGGTTCTCGTTAAATTCGGTTCTGTTCTTGATTTTTTCGGTTCGGTTCTCGATAAAACTTGCCCAGGGCTAAGCAACGTCAGCCAGCGAGATCGGGGGAGGAAAGTCAAGAGAAGGCAACACTGCAGCTGAGCAGCTCGAGCCACGAGGTGCATGAGAAACAAGAAGGGCCGATTCGGCCACACACTTGAGTAACTTTTTAGTGATAGGATAATATTTTTCTCTATCAACATTTAGGGGTGTTCGGTTTCACGGACTAAATTTTAGTCATGTCACGTCGGATGTTTGACACTAATTTAAAATATTAAATATAGACTAATTATAAAACTAACTGCATAGATTGTGACTAATTTATGAGGCGAATCTATTAAGCCTAATTAGTTCATGATTTGACAACATGGTGCTGCAGTAAATATGTGCTAATGATGAATTAATTAGGCTTAATAGTTTTAGCGTAAGCGAGCTCTCGGTGTCCCTTTTTCCCCTTTTCTTACTGGGCCGTGCACGATCGATGACATTTCTCTCTCCCTTTTTATCCGTCTGAAATCTAACGGATTCTGGGAATCTGAATTTTAACTTGGAGTTTCAGAATCTGGATTCTAGTAGATAGAAAAAATCGCTACCCGTTCGGAACCAGGATTCTAGTTTGAGATTTTAACTATTTGAAGGCCTCCTTTTCTCCACCATGCACTCGTGCATTTCTGTTGCCGCTGTCTTCTCACACGCAGGAAGAGAGAAGTATCCCGTCTTATCTGGTCTCCGGTGGATTATCTCTACCTGAGGAAAGCTGCGGACAATTCCCGAGCAGCGATTGGGCCACGTCGCCTAAATTTCTCAACCGTTCGTTCACGTGCTTAAACAAATCTTGCCGTCCACCTACAACCTAGCTAGGACTTTCCAGATACATCACGAAAACAAAAGGCCTTCCGCCGGGCGCCGGGCAGCTCACGTGCCGCAAGTTCCTGCCCCCTCCGCGGCCGCTTACGCATGGGCGTGTTCGCTGGTTTTACCAGCCGGCTGAACATCCTCACAGAATACTATTTATCAATCAGCCGCTACAGTGTTTCTCTCTCACAAAATCAACCAGTTTCAGCCAAGTTTCACACCAACGAACGGGCCCATATATGGCTCCTCCTCGGCGGCGGACACCCCACTCCTCGCAGCCGTTGTGTGCGAAGGCGAACGCAGCTCCCACGTCGACGGCTGTTAGGCATCACTCATCCGGATGCGATGGCCACACTAATAGCCGCTGCCGGCGCCTGATCCGGACGCCTAGCTCGAGGATAGACCACGCTTCTCCTGCAGCGGGCAACGAGGCCGCGCCGACTGCGGTGGCCATGGCCAGGAGCTCATGCGGGGACCAACCGGGGAGATACGACGAGGCCACATCCCAGATGCTCGAGAACGGTCGAGTACCAACAACGAGCCTCCCTCCGCCACTGACACCCGAGTGGTGACAGCCTCCAGTTTCACCTGCACCAAGCAAGCAACAGACATGCCGCAAGCCTGGTACATGTGAGACAGCGATGAAGTAGACGGCTCCCCATTGCATCCATGTCGCCTGCAGCACCGTAGACGTCCACAGGGCCTAGATAAATGTGGATTGTTGCATTGCATCCTATGGATTGGTCCAGGCCTCCAGGGAAGGGAGCGGACTGCACACTCGCACTGCTGCTAAACAATGCCTGGACATCGTGTGTTCGACTGATTGTCCGCTACAAGTGCAGATGGTTGAAGAGTGTGAAAGAGAACTGTCTAGCAGCCGGCCGTGGAGGTGGAGCTGCTCAACCTGGAGATCTTCAGTGCGCTAAAGCCACACTAATAGATACAGAAGGCTGCGAGCAAATCATGACTGTGCCATATTCGTTTGCAGACTGTTGGGAGCTATCACAAAGAGAATAACTACAATCGTGGCAGGCACAGGCAGCACTCTGTCACTACAATATTACAGTTCATCTAAAACACTGGTTCTGGCTGCTTTCTCCCACTGGTACAGAGACGGCCTTTACTTTCGGTGGGGAACCCCCTCTAGTCCTGGTTTCCCACCCGGGAGCAAACATCCGGGGACTAAAGGGGGTCCTTTAGTCCCGGGTCGGGAACCGGGACTAAAGGGGGCCTTTAGTCCCGGTGGGTAACACCAACCGGAACTAAAGGTGCCTCCTAACATGCCACGAGGTCGGCACCCTTTAGTCCCGGTTGGTAATACGAACCGGGACTAAATGTTATTTTTTTTCTTTTTTCTTTTCTTTTCATTTTTTTGTTTTCTTTTCAAAATAGGTTTTCGAAGTCGTACTGTACGTTGCTAATAATACATTTATACGCGCGTATAGTATGTTTCGGTTCAAGCACAATTAACGTATTAAATAACACAATTCAAGCATAGAAATATATATATATATATATATATATATATATATATGCATGCATGCATCATATATATATTTACATGCATGCATGCATATGTGTATTTTACATTATATTATTTCATGTGCATATATTACAAAAGATTGCATTACAGTGGTTGTGATATAACAAGTTTCCTCTCATCCTCTAGCTTGGCTTCCATGGCAGTGTTGGGTCGAAGTAGAACTCGCCCTTGGAATCGATGACCTGGTCATTAAAAAATCCGGCTATAGACTCTTGAACTGCTTTGATTTGGTTTTGCCGTATGACCTTTTTCTCCAACCATCGAGCCTACAGGTTTGAATTAAAGGAAAATAAATTAATATATGTACATATATATATATAGTAACACAATCAATAATAATAATTAAATGAATATATAGTGTATTTTTAATGTACTTTGAGTCTCTCTGTAGGAGTTCTTTGGGAGACCTTCTTGATAAACTTGCAAACATAGTAACCACAGTAGTTGTTCCCCTGTTCCTGCCTCAGACACCACTTTATGAGAAAAAGATTTGTCATCCAATCTGGTGATCCGGTGAAAGCTATATGTTTAATTAATAAAGATGATGCGATTTAGAGGACTTACTTTCAAAGGGATTACATTCAGTGGCGCTTTGCATTTTCCCATGTGTTGCTTCTCAATAAAGGTTTTCCAAACACTGCCCAATAAAAAAATTTGCCACGTCATCAGATATAGTTAATCATCATGTTTGTGTGTATATATAGTTGCTAGAGATACCGAAATTAACTCTGGATAATATCTATCATATCTTGGTAGTCTTGTTGTGGTTTTCTCATCGAGTCATAGATTATCAAGTGACTTTTCGCCAGATCGATGTCCATCAATATCTAGTGATTGTTGCATGTATTTATAGGATATAACGCATAACACTCATTAATTAACTAGAATCAACATATGAGCCATTAAGGATGATCGACATTATTAACACTCACTTGAAGTTGTAGGGAAAGAGTATATCCTTCTTGTGACGTTGGTTCACTAAGAAGTTCATGAGGTTACTCTCTGACTCAGACTTCCAATTAGGCTTTGGAGTAACTGGGTCTTTGAATACTATATGGGGATCAACAAAACCAATTTCATTGCAGCCTTCCTTTCTGCACTCTGTCATTGTAAATCTGCATATATATAGTACTTGTTAGGATAATTTATATGCATATACACACATATGATGAGTTTAATAATAGATCGAAAGAATTATTACTTACAGACAATAGCAGCTAATGATAACTTTGTCCATAGAGGTCAGGTGGCATAGTTGATGAAATTCTGCAAAGTCAACATACATAACATCATCGCCACGGAACCAATGTTCGTCTCTAATTCTGACACCAACGCAGAAGTCTTCACCGGTAGACGCCTGCATGTACCACTTGTTTAGCAGGTACATTTGCGTCCCTAGATCACCTAAGGCTTGAGGGTTGTATAGACTCTGGCCTAGTATAAATTTTTTCTTCCAAATATTAACCTCCGCCGCACTCTCAATGTTTCCATCACCAAACATCTGGTAAAGGTCGAGACCAGTCTCTTCAATAAATTCACCAAGGTGATCCAAATCGACATCCGGAGGTATGTTTGCCTGATGCATTAATCCTAAATTCAAACCATATTCATTACCAACAACTAGCGGGGGGACTGATTGGTGCGATTGTTGTCCGAGTTGTGCAACTCCTTTCCCTGCTCGCTTCTTTTTCTGTGCCGCCTCAATTGACTTGGTGAGAGTGCGGTCATAGTCCATTAACGTTGCTTTGGACGGCTTACGAGATTCCTGCTGTTGTTGCTGGTAAGAAGCCACCTTTTTTCTTAGAATATCTGGAGCTACGAAGAAGTACAGTTTCTCCGGGTTTCTCCTTACTTCTTGATCCTTTTTAAGTTTGTCATAGAATCTGGACATATCTTTTTTATGTGCATCAGTTACTTCTTCCTTCTCTTCAGATATTATTTTGGGAATAGCCCTTGGTTTCACGGTGGCTTTCTTTGCCGGCAGGGACTGGTTCTTCGTTTGCAGGGCTGGTCTCTTGCTAGTACTTGGCTTCTTGGTAGGCGGGGGCGGGGGAGGCGTTGGAGACCTCCTTGGAGGTGGTGGTAGCGGCGTTGGAGACCTCCTTGGAGGTGGCGGCTGCAGCGTTGGAGACCTCCTTGGAGATGGTGTGGATGCAGCCTCGCCTTCCAACACATTGTCATCGTACAGAGCACTATGATGATCTGGCGATTGAACAATTGGATTTAGGTTGGGGGAGGATTTGCTACAAAAAAAAGGAATGACATATTATTATGAGCAGATTGTTAATTATTTAAGCCAATATAAATTAATGATGTAGTGTTTTCATCCACACCTATGGTGAGGTAGTTCAGGAGGAGGTGGAGGCGACATCTCGGGAATGATGATGTAGCGCTTGCGCCATAGAATGAATGTCTTCTCTACTTCTCCTAGAGTCTTCTCGCCACCACCTCCAGGAATGTCAAGAGGCAAATCACTAAAACCTTTTTCAGCTTTATCTACCGAGATGGTAGCATATCCTTCTTGGATTATATTCCCATGAATCCTTGGTGTCTTGGTTCGGTCGATAGGATTAACAAGACCGATAGCCATCTTGATTATGGAATTCCCCTTCAGAATGTGTAGCTCACACGATTTACAAGGTTCAGTGACGTCATCCACAGGGAAGCGCAGTCCTATGTCCCCTTGATTTGGTACCTCCGTGGAAGCGTAGCTGCTTTTCAACTGAGCACTCACTGATGCCTGCTTGCTTCCTGGCTCTGATGCCTGCTTGCTTGCACTCACTGCTATTTGCACTTGCCTTCTGATTTCCTCCTGCATTCTCGCTTCAAGGTTTTTTTCCCACTCTTGTGCTTCACGCACCGCTTCCTCCAACCTCTGGAGCCGCTGTGCCTCTTCTTCCTTCTTTCTCTGGCGACTTCTATAGGAAGGTCTGTCTTGAGAGAATCCATGCTCCCACGAGACACTTCCTTTGCCTCTAGTTTGGCCACCGTGTTCAATAGTCCCGATGGCGTATGTCAGTTCATCCTTCTCTCTGTTGGGTCTGAACGCACCACTAGTAGTAGCTCTCTGAGCATAAAACAATCTTTCTGCTGCTTCTTGCAGTCTTGCACCATAAACGCACTTCCCTGTCTCCTGGTCCAGTGTTCCCCCATGAGCGAAAAAACAATTCTTTGCACGCTCTCCCCACTCGAGTGATTCTGGTGTGATACCCTTGGCAAGAAGGTCTGCTTCCATTTTGTTCCACTTCTTAATGGCAGTCGGGTAGCCACCTGATCCCAAGTTATGGTGGTATGTCTTCTATTGGGCATTACGTTGGTTCTTTATCACCCGACTCACACCCTCTTCCGACGTCTTGTATTGTACAAACTCATCCCAATAGGACCTCTGCTTTGAGATCGGGTCTGAGATAGTAAAATCTGGTGCTATGTTCTTCTTGACATACGTCGTGTATAGGTGTTTCTTCCAAGTCTGAAACTGGGTGGCCATCTTCTTCATTGCCCAATCCCTAACTCGCTCCTTCAATTCATCACCATCTATTATATCATCATAACCATCTGTTTGGAGCGTGAAATGTTCCAAGACATAATTCCAAATTAACGTCTTGTCACGATCGGAGACAAAACTGATATGAGGAGCATTGGTCTTCTTCTTCCATTCGCGGGTACTGATCGGGAGTCGGTCCCTTACAAGGTAACCACAGTGGTGCACGAATTTTGTTTTATTTGGCCCCCCCCCGGTTAGCCTGTATCCACATTGAACTCCGAGATGATGAAGCGGCCCTCCAATGGCTTTTTGGGACCTCGAACATTTTTACTCTTCGTTGTAGTTGTTGATGTCGATCCAGAGGGCTACAAAACATAAACATTATTTTTAATGTCATAAGCACACATAAGACATATGATAATATATATAGCTAATAATAAAAAATATATACTTGGCCAATATGTTGTTGCTCATTTTATTCAAGAGCTAAGTACTGACTCCTGTCATCTACATCCTCTTGCACGTTATTTTTAGCACCATCAGCGCCGGCAACTTGAGTGCCAGTGTTGATCAAATTCATCATCAACTCCTCCTCATCCATGTTTCTCGGGTCGGCCATCTAGCTTCAAAAAACAAAACCAATATAAAGTATGTCAAATCTTTGCTTACATGCATAAAATCTACGAACAATATGCATTATCAAATCTTGCCCCTCGGTCACGGACGCAATTCGCCACACTAGGGCGAACTACGTCGGTACTAGGGCGAATTAGGGCTATACATAAACGGCCGAGGGCGAATTGCGTCGGTGACTAGGGTGAACCACGTCGGTGACATCAACAACGCGGTTCACCCTAGTCACCGACGCAATTCACCCTAGTGTGATTGTTTAGCGTTAACGATAACAATAATATGAATGTTGATCGACTAGGCCGTGAGAGAGGGAGGTGTGACGAGAGTGGTGGTGCTTCGCTCCACCGTATATATGTTTGTACACATGGGTGAACGAGGGCGGCGGTGCTCCGTCGTATAAACCCTAAACCCTAGGGCGAACGAGGGCGGCGGTGCTCCGCCGTATAAACCCTAAACCCTAGGGCGAACGAGGGCGACAGTGCTCCACCTTATAAACCCTAAACCCTAGGGCGAACAAGGGCGGCGGTGCTCCGCGACGTATATATACATGCATATGAATACAAATGATGAAAACATATGGATCGCGATCGAGGACAAGGACGTACGGCAAGACGAGCGGCATGGTCTCGACGTCGACGCAGAATGGGCCGGGGCGGTGGTCGGCGCAGCAGAGCGGGCCGGGCTGTGTCGGCGCGGTGGCCGGCATGCTGACGGCGATGACGTGAGGTGGGCCGACGTGCTGACGATGACGACGTGAGGCAGGCCAGGGCGGTGTCGGTGCGGTGGAGGGCGTCGTCGGCGCGGAGCAGCCCGGGCCGGGGCTGCGGTCAATGTGCTGGAGGGTGTGGCCCGCGCGTCGGGCCGGGGCTGTGATCAAAAGGAGTATATTATATATCATGCATGCATGTCCACATGTTTTTTTTCTTTTTGCAAAACACAGTGCAAACGTCAATATATAGCATTGCAAACTCTACTTTGAAAAGCAATTCAATTGCCTTGATTTACTATTTGAGAACATTTTATGAACAACCGTCAAAGTAAAATGCATAATAAGATGACATGAAAATAGGCATACAATTTTGGGATGGTCGGTCCAGTCTTAATGCATAATAAAACACCACAAAATGGCCAGGCAATTTCTCAATTACATGTTTTGCAAAAAAATAAAAAAAAAATTGCACAACATCACCGTCAATCCTCTACTCGTTTTCCTCTGCTCTCCTTCAGCTCGCACGCCACCGCGCGTCGGCCATCCCCCCATTCCCGACCATGAACTCCATAACCACGAGCAAGCCACGGCACCGCGCCATCATCCTCGCCATGGCCATGCGACCCGCCATGCCCATACTGCGACTGGCCGCTGAATGGCAAAACCCTAGGCACTAGGAGAGAGAAAGCCGAGAGAACTCACCTCACGAATGCGGAGGCAGATCGACGGGGTCGCGCGGGCGCGCGCGGTGGAGGGCCGCACAAGGTCGTCGGCGCGAGTTCGTCGACGGCCGCATGAGGCGAGGCGCGGGCTCTGGTGTCACAGCGGCGGGCTGATGCGCAGGGGAAGACGAATCGGCAGCGGCGCGAGGAAGAAGAGAGAAAGGGCGCGGCGGTGTTCGATGAGGAAGAAGAGGAGGGGATCGATCTGCGCCAGGCACTGGCGCTTATATACTAGGGAGATGTACTCCCGGTGCCAGCCACCAGCCTGGAGTAAAGGTCCTTTACTCCCGGTGCGTGTTACCAACCGGGAGTAAATATATACCTTTACTCCCGGTTGGTAACACGCACCGGGAGCAAAGGTTTTTTTTGGCGGGCCACGAAACTGCAGCCCACCTTTACTCCCGGGTGGGCTTCCCACCCGGGAGTAAAGGTGGGCTGCAGTTTTATTTCCCGCATTTTTTGAGCAAATTTTTTTAATAGAAATGCAATAGTCTTGTTAAATACATAGTAAATTAAATAAAAGGCATAAAATTATTTTGTTAAAAATATGGATTTTCTTTTTCTTTATTGCACATAGGAAAAATCTATAACCTAATTTTTTTTATTTTTTGTTATAATTATAAAACATAATGTAACTAATATTTATTATTTCGTTAATGCAAAAATGTAGTGTTTAATTAAAATTATTAAAACTATTGATTTTGGACAGAAAATTTATTTTCACATCATTTTAACTCTTGGGAGCGACGATTAGCATTGTACATCCAATGCCGACTCATCTACATTACATGACATAAATACCATATTAAAACCTAGATCATAATTAATTATTTATATAACATGCGTGCCACCACAAAAGGTACAAATTTATGAAAGCATCGCTACAATGTAGACAATCCCAACTACCACTAAAAGAACTAAAGCTAAAATACATTTCAGGAGCACAAGGATTTCGCGACCAATCTCAACTAAAACAGACAGATCCTCCGATTGTGCAACATCTTTAGGCTTCTTCGGCTAGATCACTGCCTCATTAGCCGTCGTATCTGCCTGTTGTGCAAGATATTTTTGCACGAGTTCAACATACTCTTCCTCCCAGTAGAAGCCTGAACATCGTCCACTTCCATCCCACTGAAATTAAAACAAAAAATTAGAACTTTAATCACAACCATCATGAAAATAGGTATAAACTAACCATAATCATTAAATACGATAAAATAACTCACATTGCGATCCGGACACTTGTAGAAGATACGACCCTTGTTGGGACCCTCCTTCTTTACTCGGTACTCCATCACAATCTTCGTCTCATCACGACACTTGCCGCATGGAATGAGAGGGAGGCCCGACCGAAGTCGTTTTGGAAACCCATAAGAGGCCGAGGACCCGAAAGCAGTTGCCATCTACTCTCTATACTCATTTTTAATACACTATAAATTTCTCATTTTATAAACAAATAAAATTAAGAAACTATAAAATTATCTATATCTCTAAACAATGAAGTGTGCTATGCATGCTAGAAATAAAAAGTGAATACTAATTTTAAATACCTACTTTAACCTTTCTTCGTCCAAATATGCAAACTATAAGTTATTTTCAGCTCAAATTGTTTACAAATAAAAAAAATATGCAAGCTTGAAGTTTTTAAAGGTTTCCAAAGCGTTTAACACTACTCTGCTTGTCGAGAAAGTTGCTAGTGTTGTGTCGATTGCATTTTTCATGGCCGTGGCCATGGTCATTGTGTTCTCGTCTTTTACTGCGATAGGTACGTAATTCACATGATATTTCCGCAAATTAACAGAAGAATGGGAGTGTGCACACATAACAATCGATTATCGTTTATATTTATATATATACTACGTTTGGGTATGGTGATTGACAGACTACTGCGACGATATCGGGACGTGTGAATAAATAACCATCCGTTCTAGTTGACCTTGCTTACGTGATCATCTCGGCGAGCATTTCTCCACCAGACGGCACCGTACTTGGCCACGGAAGAGCTCCGATTCTACGAGGAAGGGAACACGGTCTTCCACGACCGTTGCCGCTCTCCCTCGTAGAATCAAAGCTCCTCCTTGACGTCCGTTACCGCTCGACAGAGAACATGCTCGCTGAGATGAACATGGTCCGCAAGTTCAACTAGCTACTTTAACCTTCCTTCATGTAAATATGCAAGCTTGAAGTGATTTTGAGCTCAAATTACTTACAAATGAAAAAAACCACAATAAAAAACCATATATATATATATAGTGAACAAAATGGGATAAGACAATGGTGAAACATGAGAGTATAAAGTTGGTAACCTTTAGAACCGAAGAATCGACGGAGAAATCGAAGAAATCGACGGAGGAATCGAAGAATGGATGGAGAAAGAGCAAGAACACTGCTTAAATTTGAACTGAAGCTCTCGGGCGGGCTCGGAGAGGAAGAAGACGGCCAGCAAGATTTATAGGGGGGACCTTTAGTCCCGGTTGGTGGATCCCGGTACCAACCGGGACTAAAGGTCACTTTCCAGTCCCGGGCCACGCCACTAGCTGGGACAAACCGGGAGTAAAAGTCGACCTTCAGTCCCGGTTGGTGGCTCCAACCGGGACTAAAGGTCCCCTGCCACAACGGCCTGGCGCAGGAGCCGTTGGGCAGGGGATCTTTAGTCCCGGTTGGAGCCACCAACCGGGACTAAAGGTCTCTCTAGTCCCGGGCGCAATATTTCCCGGGACTAGAGCCTTGTTTGGCCCTTGGATCAAAGGTCTGTTCTCTATATCTCTCCCGATTGGTAGCATTGACAGAGTATAAGAACCATATAAGTTATTACATATGAACACTCAACTAACATTAGTTAGATGACATTATTTCTGAGATTTACCTAACAAGAGCTACTAAGGAGAGTGAGGAAACAGCTATACTGCCATGCACTACTAATGAACTGGCTAACCAATCCCACCTTTGTCAGAAAACGAGCAAACAGATGATCTTAATTTAAGAACTGTTTTGAATTTGACTAGCTTGTCTAAAGGCTCCTCCAATAATGGTTAGAGAACTGCACATGTTTTTTTTCTTCTTTATAGCACACGAAAGCAGTGGAATGTGGAACCTGATCATAGCCAAAATTATCAGCACAGAATCTAGAAATTCCTATTTAGCTGGTACTGCAGTAATATTTGGCTGAAAGTACATATGGGACTTTGTCATAATGCTTCATAGTTTCCCAAGATATAGTTTTTTTATACAGGCATTTTCCACATAAAGGGGATTCCAGCTATTAGCAATGGCCATTCACCGGATAGCGCGGCAACGCCGCGCGTCTTTCTAGTGAGATTACGAGAATCTGACGTCCAGATTTTTATTATCTCCATCGCTATCTCCCCTGTTTGGATGCTAACAAATTTTTTTATCCGATTTTGGGATTCTACGATCCAATTCAGACGGGCCCTAAGGGCGTGTTTGGTTCCCTGCATCTGCCTCAACCAGGCTGGCGGGATGCAGGGTACCAGTGTTTGGTTCCCTGGTCTCCCCCCTCGGCATGGCCCTGCTCATGCAAACCTCCACCCTCAGCCTGGCTCCATGGAAACGCAGAAATCGGACATTCCTCCCGGGCCTGGCTCCCGAGGTGCTCCCGCGTACGCACGCGCGCAGCAATTTCGGCCGCAATGAGATGGCGCGAACTAACTAGGGTTACCTCCCTCTTTCCTGCCATTCACCACGTTATATATATCCCCTCCACCGCCGCCGCTCCCTCTGTTGGTCACTTGTCGCTCAGCCGGTAGGTGCTCCACCTCTTTCTCCTCTTCTCCTGTCTGGTGTTCATCGATTCGTGCTCATCCTTCTCTCTCTCGTTGTGTTGCAGGTGCTGTGGATCTGAGCCATATCCAGGCAAGTGATTTCTCCCTCCTTCTACCTCCCTCCTTTTCTTGATTTCAAAACCCTAACTCACCATTATTCCTCAATCCCTCTGCAGGCCGACCAGATCTGAGTTCTTGGCTATTCTTGAGGTACGAATCCTAGTTTCTTAGGGTTTTTCATTTTCTCCTATGTTTTCAGTCACATAACCTTAACATGTGTATGTAAGATCCAATTTTTTTTTGTTGTATACTTGCAGATCTGCCCTCCCTCGCTTGTTCCTGTGCTTTTGCTTGGGGTCCTGCAAGTTCTCATTCGGTATGTGAGACATCTAGTCCCCTCTCTCGTTCCCCCCTTAATCTGTATTATGCGGTAATGATTGGCGCGTGCTGCGACTTTGATGAATGCGTTATTTTCTGAGCTTATGTCCTACTCAATAATGATGATGTCAGTTTAAATCTGAGCATATATCCAAGTCTATGATGCTGGCAATTTTAATCTGAGCATATGTCCAACTCTATGATGATTGCAAATTAAATCTGAGCATTTGTCCATGTCTATGATGTTTTGTGCAGTTCTTGAGCATATGTCCAGTCCTCGCATTCTTAATCCTTATGTTCTTTACAACATTTAGTGTTGTTCATGTGTTGGTAGTAACTATGTCCTTCCAAATGTCTTGCTTTGTATAGATGGATTTGCAAGAGAAGAGACGCTTGCTTTTTGCTCGGGCTGCTGCTCTTATCATGGCTATGTATGCACTCCTTTTTACTAGGATTAGAATGCATCATTCTTCACGGCCTCAGATCACTTATGGTCCTATGAGCTTGATGGATGAGGAGCGCCAAAAGAATTTAGACTTAATTTACAACTACAATGATATAGAGTGTGTAAACATGCTTCGCATGAGAAGGGCCCCCTTTTTCAGGCTATGCAACTTGCTTAGAGACACCATAAATTCTTGTGTAGAAGAGCAAGTTGCAATGTTTCTTCATATTGTCAGCCATAGCCAACGCTTTAGAGTTATACACCAAAACTGGTGAAGGTCTATAGAGACAGTCCACCGCCATTTCAAAGA